TTTGATATAGAAAATATGGAAATAACATATAAATATAGAATGAAATAGAATGTCTAAAATTTGGTAATAACCGTATAATAACTCTAATAATTATTTTATATTTTATACATATTTTAAAATATGTATATGATACTATCCTGTAATGGCGTCCAAAATGCGTTCCTTTTGGTGTATTATGCCGTAATGGCGGAATTCGGGCCAAAAGAACTTCGAATACGCTGTGGATGTCTGCGGCTTGTGTCCAATAGTTTGGCCTTTCTCTACTACAAGCTTTCCACGCTATACGTTCCTGTCCGATCCTCGTGTCCGATACGCAGGGCCGGTCCTGGGGTCCTTAGCGCCCGCATGCAACTTTGTTTCTAGCGCCCCCCACCTATTAATTTTCACCGTTTTAACAGTTTATCATTAAAATTATATAAATTTTTACATATTTTTTAAAAATTAATTTTTAATTATTTTGGATTTAGTACACAAAAAATTAGATATAATCTAGTAGGGTATAAAATATATTGATTTTAAATTTATTTATTATTATCGATATCAAAAAATAAAACAATCCCTGTCATAATTTCACATTTTAGTAATATTCAATATGTAGTAAATTGGTTGAGGATGTAAGTTCGACTACCATAGCAAAAGAATTAATATTTTTGTTAGATTAAAGTTATAGAATTTAAGAAATGCATTTCAGAAATAGTATTTATTATTTTGGTATAAAAATCTTGATATCAAAATAATAAATACTATTTCTGAAATGCATTTCTTAAATTCTATAACTTTTTTTTTTTTATATATGATTTATTGGCTTTATAAGCTAGTACATTAGCCATATTCTAAATTATATAATATCTACACTATCTTTTAAAGTCCAGTTTTACGTATATATCATTGTTTTATGTAAATTTCTTTTATAATTTTATATTATTAGATTTGATGTAAGTATAAAGAGGCACCATATGATCTTGTATCTGTCAGCACTGTTATAAAATTAATTGGAAGGGAGATTTTTCGTTTGATTATTTCCTCCCATAGTTTTTGTCTGCCCTTTTCCCAACGTTTACACTCGATGATTATATGCTCTGCATCCGCCCTAGTCGCTTCACCCAAGCAGTAGCAACTAGGATCGATATCGATCCCAATTCTGCTTAGGCAGAATGGAGCGTATTAATGATTTAGTCTTAATCTACACAATGTGGCGTAAAACGGCCGACATTCCGTAAATCCGTCATACCATGGTTTGACTGGAATTTTTCCTTGTATCATACCATAAAATTTACCTTTAATTCTAATAGACAACTGGAAATCTAATTGCCAAATGTTCCGTATGTTTGCTCTGTTAAATTTTTTTATGTCTCTATATGATATTCCATCCGCAGCAACAGTCCCTGTATTTATTGCATCTTTGGCGCCGTTATCCGCCGCTTCGTTGCCAGCTATCCCAATATGGCTTCTTACCCATACAATGCGTAACTCCCAATTTTTTGATAATATTGCATGTATGTCATTTAGTGTATCTTTCGTTAATAATGACGGGTCCTTTCCCAACGACAACATGCCCTCAAGAGCAGACCTGCTATCGCTGATTATGACCGATTTCTTCACATTATGTTCATCAATATACTTTACGCACCTATTAATAGAGTACATTTCCGCTGTATATATCGACGCATCTTTATCTAGTTTATATTTTGTGAAGGAATTTGTCCCCTGATGGTAAAAACACGCACCAACACCATCTGAATTCTTTGAACCATCTGTATAAAATATATCATAGTCTCCAAACGTTTCATGTATACTTCCTTCGACCTCCATCCTACATTTATTGGTATCTCCGCTATAATGCGCATTGGCGAAATCGATTTGAATTATATTTCTCAGATTAGAAGAAGTAACATATAAGTGAAATAAATTAATTAATTTTTAATTATTCTGGATTTAGGGCACAAAAAATTAGATATAATATAAAAGCGTATAAAATATATTGATTTTAAATTTATTTAGAAAATCGACGCGATTCGGTGGTTGATTATAATCAAGTATTTTGGAATTTTCAAATATTTTTAACGTATGTGCAATGTTAATATTTAACAAATATAGCATTTAATTTTCAAACATAACACTCGTATTTCATGTTGGATTTTTAAATTTTAATTTAATTTAATTTTTCATCATTTACAATATCCAAAATTGCGTCGTGAACTTTTCCTAATTGATATCGTAAAAGCCGTCATATTCAGAGTATCAGCTTGCTGTTTTAAAGTTAAATTCTTAACGTATTTTAGAAGTATTGTTCAATTATCAGTAAAAAATGCAAAGAAATTACACAATTCTTGAACAATATTGAAAAAAAAACTTATTATATTTGATATGTATTATTTCTGTATAGTTAATAATTATTAAATTTAGAGTATGGAGGACACCACTAAGTATAACACAAGCCTCAAGATTTTCGTTCCAAAGTAAATTTTGCTTTGATTTTTCATATTTGTTCCACGCATGTCTTCAACATTCAAAGTTCAACAGATGCGAAACATTTGCAACAAAAGCAAAAGTTAGAATTCAATTTCTCGGAATAAACAAGTCATTTTCTAAGCACTGACTTCCCATTTTTCATAATTATAAGGACCTATTCAACTAAATCAGCTCGCAACTTTTCGTCAGTAATGCCCAACAATTAATTTAATATCTCGCAGGTTTGCTCTTATGGGATTGAACACTAGATAATTTCTTTTTCGATTCCATGGTAACTTCAAACAAAGAAAAAATTGAATAAGTAGTTTAAGCAATAAACAGAGCTGTTCTTTACTAATTTGCAGAATTATTAATCGGTTAATTGTTTCTACTGATATCACATTGCAAAATAAATATGCTTTTTGTGTCCCCGTACACCTAGTTAAGTTAAATTATTATAATTTATTAAGTATTCTAGATTTTAAATAAATAATTCTAGATTTTATATAAAAAAATATAAATTTTATATTATAAATTTAATTTCCGAAACTCATTTTGGCACCCCCTAAGGCTTGCGCCCGCATTTTTTGCATGCATCGCATGCAAGGCAGGACCGGCCCTGCCGATACGGAATACTTTCTTCGCTTATTTTATGACGTCGATGTGTTTTTCTTGATTTTGTAAAATTTACAAAATATTACCTCGCATACAGGCCTGTTTTTCAGTTCGTCGTACCGCAGCCAACCAATTTTGCAAATTACGTTAACAATGGCCCAAAATACATAGAAAATTGATATCACAACTTCTGTACACTAAACTATGATAACCAAGAATTCAACAAATCATTTCATAATTACTAATTTAAGACTGAATTGTAAAATCAAAACCCGAAATTGATGAATAACAATATAAAAAAAAAATAAAACGACGAAACTGTGAACTTACACTAAAGAAAAAATATCCGCGAATGAACTAACAATAAAGTTATATTACCGAGATCCTAAGTACTGCCGTCGATGGTGGGCCAGAATGATTACCAAAATAATTTATGCTAATTTAAGCATCTGATCGTTGAACTAACGAAAAATAGTGCACGGCACATTACACTATTTGTTATGAATTTCCTTTCATTTATTACTTATAATTTTATTTTACTCTGATTTGTTATTATTGTTTGTACATTCGTGGTCTTTCTACAGCCTTACCGTAACATCGCGATCCTGTAAGAAACTGACTATATTATAATTACTACTAATGAAAAGGCGTTTGTTCGCGACTTAATTAACTAACCTATATTTACACATAATAATCACTTAATTTAAAACATTTCTTGTTCTAACATGCAACTTATTCTAGACTTATCTTTAACCACCGCGCAACCGGTATCCATTATATGTCCATACATCAGGCCCAATTAATTTCACACACATTTACTTCACTCTAAATATACAAAGTCTACTTTCGGTTTGGGGACAGCTTACGAAACGCTGTTCCCCATGACGTTCTCTAGGCTCATTGAGTTCACGTGTTTATAAAACTATTCCCAGTAGGTCGACAGATTTAAAAAAAAATTAAGTGCTGCTTTTCCAAAGCTAGAAAAATTTCATAATTAAAATCGCTTCATTGGCTTCGAATAGTTTGTCTAATACCGCTTGTTCATCAATATTGAAACTTATTTTCTAACTGCATTGTGCCCATATTGAAATTATAGCAAGAAGAATTCATCATCAAGAATGAATCATTTTTTCTTCCTATTCGCTAGTATGGCTCTACTCGTCTGTTAAGGGTTAATAAATAATGATAGTAATTAAAGGCAATTAGCAGTATTGTTACAAAATATACTAATATTTTCAATATTTTCAGTTAATAATTTTCTATTCCTTTTACTTTGACAAAATTATATTTAAAAATTCAGAGTCTGAAATCTTCTTTATTGTGTAAAGTGTTCGACCAAAAATTAATTCGTTTTTGTATGGTTAACTTGAAAATAATGGATATTATTAAAGGCAATGCTACAAAAAAATTAAATCAATATTATTCTATTTGGTTCTCTTTTAGATACATTAACAAACCGAAAGCAGTGAAATGGTTTGAATTTGGCAAATAAAGATACCTATTTATCCAAATATCATCTAAGATATATTTGGTAAAATAAAGATAAGAAAGCACAATACATTTTTTTTTAAGTTAAAACTTTATAATGAAAATAAAACATTGTAAATCATTGTTTGAATAGAAATTTGTTAGCATTGTTAGTTTTTGTATCTATTCAATTCTATTTATTGAATTCATATTTAGATTTAGTAGCTTTGTAATTTTTAGAATATATTTTGTAAATTTTGTAGGTTTTCAATCAAAATATGTAATAAAATTAATATAAGAAATGGTTTTTAAATTTACAGTCAATTTTGTTAAATTTTTAAGTAACATCAAAGATATGTTTATTTTTATAGTTATATTAACGTTTTAATTACGTTTTGTGGTTTACTGGATTTTCAATTCAAATATTTCAAAATGTTTAAATTTCTATCATAATTTATTGTTTCTAGTATAGCACAAGTGGCAAAAGTGATGTTGGCCTTGGCGATTTTCATTACACACGGTTTAGCATGTTACGTAGCCATCGATATAACATGGAATGATTATGTTGGTAAACAATTGGAAGAGAATCCGCACAAGTTGTTCTACGAGTACCTGATTCGAACGTGCCTTGTTCTCATAACTTGTGGGTATATTATACTGGTGAAATATATAAATAAACAAATATTTTAAGATCTATAAATATATATATATATATATATATAAATATATATATATATATATATATATATATATATATATCTTGATATTGTTTATTTTGACTTTGAAACATAATGTGATAAGGTTTTTCAGCCACAAGTCGAAAAAATAAAAACAGAACGTAAATATAAATCTTCTTTATTACGTTTCAAGCTATTCTGCTAGCTCATTCGGCTAAAATATTCAGCTAAAATACAAACAGAGTAATAAAACAAAGTAACAAAATAAAATAAAACGGAATTAAAATTATACATACCAAACCAGTTTAAAATTATTTTATACAAAATTTGACAATTAAAACATAAATATTTTGTTTTAAAAACAAAAAAATATGTATATATATATATAGAATTTTGAAAAATAAAATTGAGTAATAGAATTATTTCGAATTCTGAAAGAAAAGATAATATCAAATGGTAAAAAAATGTTCAAATATTAAAAAAAATAAAATTTACATACATTAATTAAATTTTGATAGCTGTCAAAAAGCAAAGAAGAAGAACTTCCCTCATTAACACATTGCGAATTTTTAAAAAAATTAAAACAGATTCAGCAAAACTTCTTAGGTCAACATTTTGTTCAATATATAAAATAACAGGGATTGTTTAAATCAAAGGTGTGTTTAAAATTTTGCATATGGTCTAAATTATATTTATGTTGAAGCATTCTCTTAGATATATACTGTGACCAATTGCACCGATGCACCAATTTGAAAACGTGTTCACTCAACGCCGATACAGAGCACTATAGACCCAGTCAAAACACGTGCAAACGTACTAAAGACGATTTATATTTACGTTCTGTTTTTATTTTTTCGACTTGTGGCTGAAAAACCTTATCACAATATATATATATATATATATATATATATATATATATATATATATATATATACATGATTTAGTAATTATATTACAAAAAATTATAAAAAATGCATGGTGTTGACAAGTTAGTTATATAAATGTTAGTGATGTAACCAACCAACGTAATGTAAGTCCACTTGTATTTTATATGTATTATCCATCTTCATAAATATTTTTTTTTGCTTTACATATATACGAGTTATATATATATATATATATATATATATATATATATATACGTATATATATATATATATATATATATACGTATTTGTATGTATATATGTTTATATATATATATATATATATATATATATTATTTATTTACATGTATGTTTATATGGATGTACATATATATATGTGTATACATGTATTTGTATATGTGTATATATGTATGTATGTATATGTATATATATGTGAGCATTTATGTACATATGTATATATGTATGTATTGTGTGTATATGTATATATGTATGTGTATATATGTATGTATATATATATATATATATATATATATATATGTATATATGTATATATGTGTGTTTGTATATGTGTATATATACATGTTTATGCGTATATGTATATGTATACGTGTATAGCTATAGTTACATAGATAGGTATGAGTATATGTATGTTTCATACATGTACATGTACGTCGTTGTGAATATGCATGCACGTTGCATACATGTATATGCGTATATTTATATATGATAGTCGTACATGTATATGTGTACATATATAGGTATATATTGTTGTATCTGTATATGTATATGTGTATTATATGTTTGCATGTGTGTGTATATGTATATATGCATTTATATATATATATATATATATATATATATTATTATATATGTATATGTATGTGTATATATATATATATGTATGTATATGTGTGTATGTGTGTATGTATATATATATGTATATATGCGTAGGTTTATATGAGTGTACTTATATATTTTTGCCTATATTTTTTAATTATTTATTTAATTCTAGTCTCTATTACCTTTCCTATCTTTTATAATTTGTTTGTTGTTAAGTGTTGCTGTTTGTTAATTTTTCTCTTATTGTATAGTTACTATACCAATCCACATATATTATAATTACCTAGATATACTAATTTTCATACTGTTTTTAGATCCACTGATGATGACATTAAATTGAATGTCGAAACGTTTGGAATTAAAGATTATTTTATAAATCTTTGCCTTTTCTTTGTTTGATGTATCGCCCTCAAGAACTCACTCATATATATATATATATATATATATATATATATATATATATATATATATATATATATATACATACTAGATAACCCGACAGACGTTGTCCTGTACCCAATTCTACATTTTTTCAATATCCTGTACTAATATTTACCGTTCAGTTAAAATTATTAATTATTGTTTTTCGAATTACTATTTACATCAATATATGAGTGAATGTACAACTGCTTCAAATAAATTGATGATTCTCAATTTCCACAGTTAACACTTTAATTATCCCTTTAACAAATATTAAAATATGGTCAATAAAATTATATATTAAAAATCAACCACTGCAATTTTATAGTACAAATTTATTTCCAATAGCTCAATTTATCTTAATGTCAAGGGTTATACAATTTTTTAGTCATACCTGTAGATGAGAAGTGTAAAAATGAATGATTTTTTATTTATTCACGACTAAAACATTGACTTTCCAAATGTATCAAGCAAAAAGTCATTGCCTGTTTTTGTGATTTATAGCATAAGATACACGTGTTGAAAATTAAAGTCTACTGAAGGGTGTAACAAATTCAGAAAGAATTAATAATTAACATTCCCGGTAAAGGTACAATATCACATTGGTTTTTTCTACCCAAAATAATGGCTTCAATAATGTTGCCTATAATTTTTATATATTTCTACCATATTTTAAGTGGCTTTTAGTAATTTTAATATCTAAATTACATTTTTCTCACTATTAAATTTATATAAATTATTACTCAAGTTTATATTTGAAGTGAATTAATTTGTCAAATCCTGTTTACATGTCCTCTATTCAACCTACGATCAACAAAATTATTGCAGTAAATGGAGAGGAATAAACCGTGTGTCGGAAATAGGCTAATCTTAATCTAAAATCTTTAGTTCAGAAGTGAAAACAATTTGCACTTCGTCATCACCCACCGGATTAATTGTATTAACACTCCTTTAATTCTGATTTTAACAGTACTGGCAATACACTCTTTTAAAGGTAATTAAATGAGCTACAACTTTCTCTATCATAAATTTTACCGTAATTTCTCTTATTTTGAAATGGCAAAGGATTGAAGGACTCGAAAGACGCTCTGGTTGGACACTATCAATATTTGTGTAACAGAAAAATTATAAAAAGCAATAATTGGTCAGTTGAATTTTTATTTATATACCTTTAGTATCTTTTATTTTTTTAAATAGATTTTTTTTCATGAAATCATGAGCTTTTTCGAAATCGTTTGCACTAAAGTTATGGTATTTTCTAGAATCCGTCAAGATCTCTCAAACCAAGTTGATTTCAGAGGGAATACGATTATTTTTAATTTTGGTGGAAATAGCACTCAAAAACTATTTGCTTTAAACAAAAAAAATATTGTATGCGTCTTTTATCTGCATAATAGCCCACTCATTTTACACGCAGAAGAACTCATTTTAAAGCTTAATTTGAGTGCTATAAAACCCGATTTTTATATCTATCCTAATGTTGTTCCTAGAACAATTTATAGAACACCGATTTATTAGGATTTTAATTTATATAATTTTGTTCAATACATGATTTTCGTTTAAATGCATATTTTTAGAAATATTTGCAAAAAACTATGAAAAACGTAAAAAACAACAAATTTTTAGTAGCCAGTAACTTGAAAAGTAATTTCTTTTTTGAAAAACATTAATAAACATTTTTCTCTTCTAACTAGTTCTTTTATCGATATCCAACGTTAGTTTGAAAGAGATACAATTGCACCACTGAAAAGAGATGCCATTCCCCCGGGAAGTGGCAAATGATTCTAAATTATTTTTACTTTTAAATTTGAGAGTAAGATGAAATGAAATTCCAAAATTTCATGCAAATTGGAGCACATTAAAAATATTCAGACCCAAAATGCTCCATTGTCTTGAGTAAATATTTCGTATCCAATGCCAAACATATAAATTTTTGACTCAATGAAACTTCTAAATAATTGTTTGAATAAATAAATTATTTTTGTATCGTGATTTAGTGAAGTAAGGCAAAACACGACTGCATTTGAAAGTTAAAAAATAATAATCATTCAAAGTAAATTATAGACTAAGTTTGAAGTGCGATCACTGCAGACACATGCGCAGACTGCATCATCTGTCAGATGTTGACTGTAAATCTTATATTATTTTAATTTTTGGCACATCTCAGCTGCTTTTTGGCAATAATAATGTAGTCATTACATTTTTCTTATTTATAATCATAAATATATTATATTTTAATATTATATTAGCCTATAAGTGAATGGAAATGTTTGGCAAATGACAATCTTCATTTGTTTTAATGTCAAACCATGCCTTAAATATTTTCAAGGGCAAACAATGATAAGCGTTTTTTTGTAATTTTTTCCATTTATTTCTACAATCTAACTATATTTCAATGAATCTACAAATTGTAGAAAATTTCCCGAACAAACTTTAGGAAGATTCATGAAAATCCAAATTATTGTTTAGAAGGATTAATTATTCATACATAGTTACAGAAGAATTTTATATTTATATCTATATTTATATTATATTACGGATACAGGAAAAAATTTAATAATTACAGAAAATAAATTAACTCAATTGAATTAATTACAGTAAAATATAACTATTAAACAAACTAAGAATTTGGCAAACTAAGAAGTATCGTAGAAACTTTGAGCTTTTAAAAGTTTAACAATAGTTTTATGAAATTGACGATCATTCAGTTTCCTAATATGTAGTAGGAGTAGATTAAAAAGCTGTACTCCTCTTCCGTCTACGGTTTTAAAAGATGTTTCAAGTTTAAAAGTTGGTCCTTTTATAGTCAAATTTTATGT